ATATATTACATATACATACATGATGTTAATGAACATTAAATAACGACAATTTAAAAATAATAACGATTGGCGCCAAAAATTGAATAGAACTCATTGCTTTTGCTGGGTGTTGTCCTTTTCTATTGTTATTTTGGGAACAAAACAAAGAACAATTATCAATCGCGCGTTTTTAACAGCTAGTAGGAAGCGTTATGGGGATCGGTCTGTTATTCACAATGAATCCCTGATTAGCATATCAAACTCGATAAATAGCGCCGTGCTTTAATTTAGTTCATCAGTTATCTATTCGTAGATTAAATCGAAAACATGCCGCCAAAAACTTCAGGAAAAGCTGTTAAGAAAGCCGGTAAGGCTAAAGCCGTAAGAACTGGCGATAAGAAAAGGAAACGTAAACGAAAGGAGAGCTACAGCATCTACATCTACAAAGTGTTGAAGCAAGTTCACCCAGACACTGGTATCTCAAGCAGAGCCATGGGAATCATGAACAGCTTCGTCAACGATATCTTCGAACGTATTGCCGGTGAAGCATCTCGACAGGCTCACTATAACAAGAAATCCACCATCACCAGCAGGGAAGTTCAGACCGCCGTTCGTCTCTTGCTGCCGGGTGAATTGGCCAAGCATGCCGTATCTGAAGGCACTAAGGCTGTCACCAAATACACCAGCTCTAAGTAATCATCTTTACTGCAGTTTCAAACCAAACGGCTCTTTTCAGAGCCACCAAAAGTACAAGAGAGATTTGTTGGTTTTCTGTCAATTGTATACAATGAAAATGGTTAACACTAGAATAAGAGTACTTATATTGTTGTGTTGCCCTGGAAAAAATGTTCTCAATAAATTTAACCTCGACTGTGTTAACAACATAGGCCTAGCCTATACCGTAATAAATAAAAGATAACAAGGATATACAACTACGAGCACCAAATAATATCTAGGCCTAGTCACAAGATGTATACAAACAGAATATAAAACATTATTAACCAATTACACATTAAACTTAATTAAATTAGGTCGAAATTGCCACAATTATCTATTAACATTATTATGAAGGTGAATGGAGTTGGGAACAAAAGAGTTTCTATAACGGCAACGTGTGGTGAGTTGTACCTGTATTTACTGGAACCTGTATACAGGCTTGTCTGCTTGGCCTCCTTTCGGAATTTGTCAGTTAAACAAATATGATTTGAAATTCCAAGTACTGTATATTATTGACTTTCGTTGATAAACGATTCACTTACTCTACTCCATGCAGTAGGTAACGTATAATTTGTTATGGTATAATATTTCTATCGATTATTATATCTTTTTACTTTAGGTTTCAATCTTAAGTATTCATCTTTCAGGTGGATGGTCTGTGTTTTCTATTCCAATCGGTGGTGTGTTATAGGTAATTAAATCAGACTGCACCTTATCTCATAGACATTCATTGGACTAACTACATTTATGGTGCTAATGATTTTAAAATATATTTTTAGATGATCTGTCTGATATCTTTCGATTATCTTTATAAATATTGTAAAAAATACATTCAAAAAGCATGGAATTTAAGATCAAATGTCTATAAGAACATTAATACCTAAGTACCACCAATATTTTTAAGTTGCTTTTTTTTCCTTTATTTTTATTTATAATGAATTTGTTTGATTCAACGTTGCCATTTGGCTTTATTTACCATTTTTTCAAGTCAAAAATCGAAAAATATTGCAACACACTTTTATCCAGCTCTCCTCAAACTTTAATACAAGTGACTTTTCTCATTTTGTTGCTGTCTCAGAAGAGGAAGTTCTTGAGGTTATTAAGTCATCTTCAATTACCTCATTTTCACTTGACACACTCCCATTGAAATTGTTCAAGGCTTGCCTTCCTGTTCTCAAACCAATTATAACTGAAGATGTCAACACTTCTTTGAGTTTTTATTTTTAACTCTAATTTAATTAACTTTTATTTAGAGATTTATTTCCATCTTCCCTTAAGCATGCCTGCATTACACCCTTGTTAAAAAACCATTATTGAATGCTGAAGAAAGAAGCAGGGTTTTAAATAATATACAGTGTTAAAATGAATAAATAACACGTTGAAGCCACAAGCATTTCTTTATAAATGTTTATTTACGATGACGTAGGACCTATGAAAGGTCTACCGACATATGGGTATACGCTGTCTCTTATACACATCTCAATTTGTACAATAGACTTCTTCAAGAAACTTTGACATAATAATATTATTGGTGCATGTCACACCTAAACTTTAAAATCAAATGCAAATATGAGTCTATCTATTAGTTTGTACTCTTGATGTGATTTTTTTTTCCTGATGTCTTACAAGCAAAAAGAAATTAACTTTGAAAAATATAATTGAATGTTACCAAATCATGCTGTTTAATTTATGTTGTAGCCACGACCTGCCGGGCCTTGGGAGAAGCAACCAGAAGTCCAGTACAGGCAGGTGGCCTTACCCTGCCCACCGTGTCTACAGCCAGTACCAGTAGATTGTTTTGGCAAACACGAGGTAGGCAGTTCTTATGTATGATAAATGTTTCGCCATGCTTTCTCAGATATTGAACACCATATACATTTTTCTAACATAAACAGTCTTTTAATTATGTTAATTCCTAGGTCTTACTAGAATTTACTATTAACTACAGATAAACAAGATATTTGCTATTAGACTGTGAAGGGTTTGTGAACTCTGACCTGTATAGGTGCTGTCTCTTATACACATCTAGATGTGTATAAGAGACAGGAATAAGAGTACTTATATTGTTGTGTTGCCCTGGAAAAAATGTTCTCAATAAATTTAACCTCGACTGTGTTAACAACATAGGCCTAGCCTATACCGTAATAAATAAAAGATAACAAGGATATACAACTACGAGCACCAAATAATATCTAGGCCTAGTCACAAGATGTGTACAAACAGAATATAAAACATTATTAACCAATTACACATTAAACTTAATTAAATTAGGTCGAAATTGCACTTAAAACCACAATTATCTATTAACATTATTATGAAGGTGAATGGAGTTGGGAACAAAGGAGTTTCTTTAACGGCAACGTGTGGTACCTGTATTTACTAGGAACCTGTATACAGGCTTGTCTGATTGGCCTCCTTTCGGAATTTGGCAGTTAAACAAATATGATTTGATTTGAAATTCCAAATACTGTATATTATTGAATTCCGTTGATAAACGATTCATTTACTCTACTCCATGCAGTAGGTAACGTATAAGTTGTTATGGTATAATATTTCTATCGATTATTATATCTGTTTAATTTAGGTTTCAATCTTAAGTATTCATCTTTCAGGTGGGTGGTCTGTGTTTCCTATTCCAATTTGTGGTGTGTTATAAATAATAAACTTATAAATTAAATCAGACTGCACCTTATCTTATAGACATTCATTGGACTAACTTCATTTATGGTGCTAATGATTTTAAAATATAATATTTTTAGATGATCTGTCTGATATAGATGAAACTCTTTCGATCATCTTTGATAAAAAAAAAATTACATTCAACAAGCATGGAATTTAAGATCAAATATCTATAAGAACGTTAATACCTAAGTACCACCAATATTTTTAAGTTGCTTTTTTTTTCATTTATTATTATTTATAATGAATTTGTTTGATTCAACGTTGCCATTTGGCTTTATTTACCGAACCTTTTGTTCCGTAATGATTTTCGTAGTTAAGTTGTTTTCTTCTTTTTAATTTTCTGTTGATTTTTGTCTTTTGGATGCACCATCATTTTGAATGTGTGCCACTGTAATAAAAGTGATTCCAAATAAAAACTAAAACTAAACATGTCTTTCAAATTGTATTTGACTGTTTTTTCCCTCCAACCCATACAAAACAAAGGATTCCTGAATAGTGCGTGAGCGAGCGTGACAAGAAAGCTTGTTCTTTTGAGCGCCAATACTGTAACAAAGTGGTCGTTCCTCCTACGTCCGCAGAATAAACTTATATATGTGGATTTTGTATCCATCGCTATTTTATTTTCGAGCTGACATTCGAATAAGAATAATAACATGTCTGGACGTGGTAAAGGAGGAAAAGGACTTGGAAAAGGAGGCGCGAAGCGTCATCGTAAAGTGTTGCGTGACAACATCCAGGGTATCACCAAACCAGCTATCCGTCGTCTTGCTCGTCGTGGTGGTGTCAAGCGTATTTCTGGTCTCATATATGAGGAAACTCGTGGAGTATTAAAGGTTTTTCTTGAGAATGTCATCCGTGATGCTGTTACATACACCGAGCATGCCAAGAGGAAGACCGTCACCGCCATGGATGTCGTCTACGCCTTGAAGAGACAAGGCCGAACCCTCTACGGATTCGGTGGATAGCTTCATCTAAAACGCAAATCAAAAGGCTCTTTTCAGAGCCACCATTTGAAACAAAAGAGAAATACTGTAGCATATTTGTCTTGTGTGATTTGTTGATACTAAGATTCTACATCATCCATGCATAATTATAATTCCATGTTTTATGACTGCACCACAATGACGACACAATTCCGCAATAGTAAAACGATTACTGCAGCATGATACTTGTCACTACATATACAAATGTTATGGTCACGGCTACCAAAGCTTTTTTTTAAAATTCTTTTTAAACTCAAAAACACACAATACAGAAAATTAAATAAACAAAGTTTAAAATAATATACATTTCACAAGATATAAATAATTGATCAAAATTTTACATTAATGGCCTAATTTGAAATAGACTTTATCTCGATTAAAAAGCAACTACAGTTAGAAGCAAGGTAAGAATATTTCCATTAGCAGTTATATTTCTATGACTCGGCAATGAAGAATAACTAAAAAATAAACATGAAAAATACATTTTTTAACATTCTCTTTTTTCAAAATTGAACACTGGTTAAACCATAGAGCATTTATTTGCTCTATGGTTAAGCGTATCTTTCTTTCTCACATTTTCAAACTAATGATGTGATAAATAGATCCTTAATATATACATACTAAAAATCAGTTCATTAAATAATACATTATTATTAATTAATTAAAAGTTTGAAAATTGAATTGAAGACTTTCTGGTTTTCTAAGTTAAATAGTTATGATACTAGGCCCTATACACTTTATGTAAATTAAATATAAATTTCTCTAAAGCTCAAAATGAATTTTCTGATTCAGATTTCGATGATTAAACTATAAAATATATCCGTAAATAAAACAACATAAAGCAAACAACAGTAATCAATACATTATTAATTAATTAATTAAAAGGTTTGAAATTAAAAATTTGTTTATTTGAATTTAATTCAATTTCAAAACTTAAAGCAAAGCCCATTGAAGGCACTCTCAGCGTTCCATACATCATTCATCGCGCATTGAGCTTTATTTTTTGAGGCGATTTCGCGAACGAAGCGGAGATAAATGATAATGGTATGGAACTGCTGGGTTTATTTTACTTGATTTACAAACTCCAGTTTGCTTAAACTTATAACTACATTTGATAGAGTTTTAGTTGTCTAATTAACAATTAAAAACTAATTAAATGATTTCATTTCAGGAAGGTTCCTGGCTATCTTAAGCTAGAGTAGAGACTAGCTAGGCCTTGGCCCCGAAGCCGAACTGTCTTTTGGCCGAGCCTAACCGGTCTTGTTGAGTGCCGTGTGCGGGGCCTTAGCCTAGCCTATTGTATACTAGCCGGCTAGCCTAGGCCTAAACTTATTTGAAAATAGTACTAGGGCCTCGGCCTAGCTAGGCTAGACAACCTAGCCAAGTACTTTTTATTAGCTTTTAAATCTGAGTGTTAAAAGTGTGAATACTCTAGCCTCTAGTCACCTAGGCCTAGATAGACCTGGCCCTACTAGGCCTAGTCCAATTAGTAATCTTTAGATCTAGGCCTAGGGTAGGCTAAGCCTAGGCCCTACTACTACTAGGCCTAGGCCAATACTATGTGAACACATTTTTCTTAATCACTACAATATTTTCTTTATATTTTTCAGATGTTATATATTTTCACAACAGACTAAATCTAAAATGTTGTTGCTTGGAGATGAACAATCAAGATTATCATTTTATTAATTCAACCACCTCTAACAAAGTTTCAGAAAAGAATGATAGGCCTAAGTCGAGGATGAATACGAGTAACTTTCGTGGAAGTCATGTGTGTACTTCCTCACTACGGTGTAGTTCAGGTTGTGAAGATTGTCATCATGGTCATCATGTGCCTAGTTTAAAAAGTGAAACTATACCAGGAAGAGAACGGACTAGGCTTGCTTCCCGTTCTGCACGTAGGAGAAGGAGTTGTTCAAGACACCATGACCGACAGGTTCCATGTGGCACTGATACTCTAGATGATCATCTAGATGATGACTATCAGTGCTTCGCTAGTTGCGATTCTAGTTCTGAAGATGAAAGACAGTACTATTATTCAGACAGAAGAGACCAAAGCCATCATTCTCATTCTAACCAAAAAAGAAGTGGAAGGCAGAAAGTTTTTGGAAAACCTGATAAATATTCTCCCCATAGTCATAATAAATTAGAGAGAAGTGGAAGTCAGGTATCCTTGGCTTACTCTGCACCTAGTCATAGATCATGTTCTAGTACACGTGGCATTTGTTCCTGCTGTAGTGATGTGTCAGCTTTCCAACAGTGCAGTAGAAGTAACGAGCAATGGAGTCATCGTGATACTTCAGCCAGTAGGCTGTCTCCATCAGAATGTCCTGGAAGTCATGGCAGACATGCGCCATGTTCCGGATGTCACCATGGTTCTCCAAAACATGGTTTTGACTTAACTGCTCAGCTTAAGGCTCTTTTGCAGCCAGATGGCAGTCATACAAGTGTGCGTACATCATCACACCAGTTAATGATGGCAGCTCTTCAAGATTCCCACATGCCATGCTGTGTCCAGCAAAACACAACCTCCTGTGACTATGATCACCAGCAATGCTGCTCCCATAGCTCTCATAGTTTTCACCAGCAAAGTCAGAATCATTGTTATGAATGTGCTACCAAGTATGGCACACACACTACACACAAGTATTCATTGCCACAGTACCAAGACCCAAGTATATTAGCTACTTCAGGTTTCCGTCCGCTACCACACAGGCCCTCCTGCAATAACACTCAAGACTTCGTTCCTCAGACACCACTACGCACGTGTGAAAATTTGCCAATGGCTTGCAACTCTTCACCGGTATACATGAGAAGCACTGTCAACCATTCCTTGGGGCATAACATCACCAGTGAAATTACTGCACTTTTTGACCAAAGCTTCCAACATACATCAACACCTGATGCAGGAACAGCCATCACAGCCTGTCAGACACAACCATCAAACTCTGTTCATAATAACTCCTCCAGTGTATTCTGCCATTGTCAGAGTTGTAATACAGGAGTACCAGCATCACCATTCCACTCGCATGCCAGGCAAATTCGAATTCCACCTGCATCGTGCTTGAGTACTGAAGGAACTTGCCATCTGCCACAAATTTTTCCTACTGAAGAAAATGGTAAGTTAGAATTGAGATTACTGTGATCACAATATGTTATTTGATACAATAAGATATTTGTATGTATTCAAATATTCTCTTCATTGGTAAAAAACTTAATGCCCATCTGCACAAGTAGGGTATGGTTTTATGGATTGTGAATTTGTGTTGATATTGTATTTCTCAGTCTTTATACAGAAATGAAAAAGTAAAACAAATTAATAAAATCAATGTTAAGGAATTAACATGCACTTTGCAAATTTATAAACATTAGCGTACTGTAATACAAAATAATGTCTACTTAAATTAGTGTTGTACTATCAGTTGCTTTGATAATCTGATTTACGAGGAACTTGGCATTGTTTTTTTTTTAACTTTGAAAAGGGGCCAGTGATACTACAGCGACTGTGGACAAGCCCCCAATTGGAGTCTTCTGGGACATTGAGAACTGTTCTGTCCCTCGTGGAAGATCAGCTTTGGTGCTTGTGCAACGGATTCGGGATCAATTCTTTGGAGGCCACAGAGAAGCAGAATTCATGTGTGTCTGTGACATTAACAAAGAAAGCAACTCAGTAATCCAAGAATTAAATGATGCTCAGGTTCGGTTATCAATGATTTTCAAGTATTGGCAGCACTTGGCTATTGTTACACCAGTCTTAAACCAATCCCTGATTCAGTTTGGTTGTTATTGTTCTATGGATTGGATTAGGTCAATAACAGCCAATCAGAATTAAGAATTGGTTTAAGACTGAGATAAAAACAAGGCACTGCCTAAGCCTTAACACGTTGACAGCCAGACCTTTTTTCAAGTATACGAACATACTTTTTTGAAATTTTATCTAGTCATTTCATGAAAATGGTGAGTCTAGGAATATTAGGGGACAACTAAACTTGTCACTAGCAATGGGACAGTATTTTCAGCGCCGGTGACCCCCTACCACCCCCTACGTCGGGGACGTTGGACACCCTGTCAGGGAAATCCTGATGCTGCCTCTGTGTACTTTCCATTTCCTCTGCCACTTTTTGCATTGGTTGTTTATAGGTTCAGCAATCTAGTGTACTGCCGGCAACATATCACATCAAACATACATGCATTATTTGTATGTTATAGTCTAGGTGTATCTCCCCTGAACTGTCAGCCATTAAGTCTGTGGTTCTAAAATGTATACACCCTGTGGGAAGAGTATACTTGTCGCTGGCAGCGAATGTGTTAAGTAGTTGTATTCATTTATCATTTTATTTCAACTGCATATTCACTACTAACAATTCAATTACCAATTGAACACAATGTACTGTACAACAGTTGTCTAAGCCACAGGTGAGCAAAGCTCGGCTCATTGGGCAAATGCTGCCTGACGGCAATTTTGTTGTAAAAGTAAATTTACAAAACTGTATTATATTGTGTCATTAACTTTATAAATAATGTGTACTTTCCACAGGTGACTGTCGCCCACATCAATGCTACTGCTAAAAATGCAGCTGACGACAAGCTGAAACAAAGTCTACGAAGGTTTGCAGATACCCACAATCCACCAGCAACTGTAGTTCTTATTTCAGGTAAAGTATTCATAAAGATTCAAGAACTAATTCAATTCCAATTTTTCTTGTAATGTCCTGCCAGGACCTCAATTAAGATAATTTCTCAATGTAAATGCAGGAGTTATTTCAACATAAGTTTATTTTTTCCTTTTTGATCTTATCTGCAGGTGATGTAAACTTTGCCAATGATCTTTCTGACCTTCGACATCGTAATGGCTTGAAGATCATTCTTGTGCATCGACAGGACTCAAGTGATGCTCTGACCACCTGCGCCAATGAGACAGTCCAGTACAGTGACCTTCTTATTGATCTGCCATTTAGATCTCCAATGAAGGTAACTTTGGAGAATAATGGTTTATTAAAAATTTATAAAGTACAGATTGAAATGAACTGCTGCTATGTGTTTTATGCATTGTCACCCTTTTCCCAAGTCATTGGAACACATCATCATCATCATCACTTTGGGGAGCAATATTTCATAAGCAGTAATCAGCACATTCATTCCTACCCTAAACCCTTTTTTACTCTTCGTGGAAAGAGTAAAATGAACAGCATGAGCCTTCAAAGCTCCAACTTGATGGTTGACAGCTTGAAGCACAATCACTGCACCAACCTACCTTCTTGAAAGAAGGCTTGTTGGAATTTAAATTCCTGATACCTAGTCAGATTCTCTGGGCATTTTCTTTTACTAATTTCATGTCTGCCAATTATTGTGTGCTACTCCCAGTCTTTCAGTGCTCCTCCCAGTTTTTCTGTGTTTCTTCCAGTCGTTTCATCTGGTTTATTAATATGACTGCACTACTGTACATAATATTTGCTTAAGTTATTGATTGATTGATTAATGGTTACCAATCAAATTTACTTCCTTAGGACTGTTCGGAGAACCCACAGTTAGTGGTGCGAAATTTGCCACAAGTCTCAGACATCAGCAAAGTGCGAAACAGACTTAAGCAACTGTCAGACAACTGTGGAGGTAAAGTGGTCTTCATCAATGAGAACCTTGCTGTTTTGAAGTTTCAAAACGCTGAAAATGCAGGAAGGTAAGTTTGCTTTTTTACTCTGGTTTTTGGAGTAGCCCATCTGGTAATGCTGAGGCTTGACAGTCTCTCTTTCGCCTTAAGGTTACAAAGTTAAGTAAAACTTGAGACTAGTTGAGATTGACACATTCTTTCATATCCACAGATAAATTGCATTTCCTGCAGATACAGAACATTGAGTTCAATGAAACACAGCTTCTTCAGAAAACCTCTTAAACTTTTTAGGCCAAACATCAATGAGATTAAGTGAAACAGATGATAAAACTGAACTTAAAGACCTCAATCCAATGATAAAATTGTAATATAAATAAGAGCTAATGTTTATGGTTTGCATGGCTGTAAAAGGTAGGCAGCGTAATAGAAGAATATAACATCAACTGTAACACAGTTGTTGAGTATAATATTTGAATCAACTTAAAAGATTTTCTTTTGTACAGAGCTAAGAAACGTCTAGATGGAGAGGATGTGTTTGGCAGTAAAGTTTCTGTGACCGTTAATACGAAACCCTACAGAGCTTCTCCCATGCGGTCATCTGGAAATTCAAGTAACAATAGTTTTAGATCGAGTAAGGGGTCTCCTAAAGTTCAGAGTCGTGAAGATGAGAATGAATATGTAACCAATGACATGGATACCAAGGCAGAATCAGGTAATATTTGTATACTGCTTGATATCTGAGCATTTATTTCACATCCAATTGAAAGTACACCTAATGCTCGACGCAGTGTTCCCGGAACGCCGCCGTCAGCGGCGAGTGCGAAGCACAA